CATTCCACGGCACTGTAGACGCGCTAATTTGTAGTGCTGATAAGAGATAACGTTACATACTGACTAGGAAAAGTCATTCTTTTTCAACTTCACATTCTGATTCTTGTAATTCCGTGTTTCAGTTGTTCGACTCTAGGGGCCCTGAAACGAAGAGTCATGGAATACAATTAGTTTTACTTGTCTCTACCGGCTCTAGAATTACTGACTGTAGATTACGACTTTACCATCCGATTGAAAAAATAAACTATCGAAACTGTGCGTTTTTATCCATTATACTTCAGTGCAGTTGAAGTAATTATAATGTGGTTCAATGTATGGAAGCCGCGTAACATTCCAGTGATATCGTGACTACTCATATGTACCGATATGTTGGTACTAATGTAAATGATTGAGTCTTGACAGGACTGTGGGCAACTAGTTGCTCTTAATAAAGTCAACAAAGTTTAACATCAGAACGCTGATATCGAGAATTAGTCCTGATAACATTTATTCTCTATCTATTCTCTATTTATGACGCTTTCAGATGTAGATCAACTCAGTCAACAAGTCACGGTAGTGACTATCGCTCCTGCTAGGTGTCAACTAACCCAACGTATATGCGTTTATTAGCGCGGTATTCGAGTGTCAAAACGCCCTCTGTGCATAGTGCACGAAACCTCCGTAGCAATGAGAAGCACTAATTACACTAACACCGAGTACTAAAGGAACTATTTTCTTTGCGGAGACGAAATATGTAATGTTCTAGCGTCTATTTATGTGACAATGTGACCAGTTTTACAGAAACCTTGGTCTCGGCCATGCATATAGCAACCAAATGAAAGGAGGTGGTCATTTCTCGCTGAAGGTGCTAACCAGCTTTGATGATATGGCAATGAATAACATCCAGGGCCGCCTAAAAGGATGTTGGTTTAAAGTATCCCGTTCAATGATTGAAAGTAAGATGGTCATGCTTTCAGCCGTTCTCGAAACGGGGCGATAACACGTTAGGCTTGCGATTTCAATGTTAAAAGGTTGCGCGAGACAATGAAAAGTTACGTGCAATCTTGTGGGAAAAGACGGTCTATTGTGGGAATAAGACGCTCTTAACATGATAAATTAGTAGCAGCATACCTACCAATCGTATTGGAAGCGCACAAAATCATACGTATCCCTCAAAGAACGCGAGAACTTGCGCACTACTCCCGGGGATTAAGAACTTTAATTATTGCTATGCCTTTGATCCCAACCCGGGTGCAACAACGATTACCATTTTCATAAAGAGGCTCCTAATGGATGCGACTCATAACGAGGCCATCTTGACCTGTCTATTTCGTGGGCGCGGCGGTCGTTGCATAAATGAGAAGTACAACGTTTGGACCGCGAGAACTGGATGGCGCGCTAGGAATGTAAGATCTACGAGCGCACTAGAGAACATGATTTGCATTCGTGCTCAGATGTAGGCGATATACTTTTACCTACTACTTCGCTCCACGCCTTTCAGTAAGCAATAATGCTTTTGCCGAAAACACAAAGCTACAAAAGCTTCCGTGCAGTTCTAGGGATTTATGATTATGTGATATTTTATTGAAAGATGCCTCGGGCTGCTCTCGGAAGGCAAAAGAGGCAATGAGCTGGTCATATCTATGTCAAACGGAGAAAGGACAACAACATATGCCGGCTCCCAGAGTGTGTGTTCAGCAGGACGATAATAATATATTGAGCCGTTGGCTCCTGTGTTAGATTCGTAGATTGTGCAAGTGCCTGAGGGTCGCATTCTTCTATGTTTGAGCTCATGGATTTGGGAGAGTGTAAATCCCAATCACAAGGGTCAGTCTCTGAAGCTAGGTATTGATTCAATTAGGTTATGATGTAAAGTTACTGCTAAATTAGCACTACGTGTTTGCGCGCCCCACGTGTGGAGCAATAAATATTCACGGCTCGTGACGAGACCAACTAATTTCCCGTGAGTCGAGTGACCAGACTAGTCTTAGAGGATGTAAGATTTCTCTCACTGCTGCGGAAGTTTTCGGAAACTGGAAGAATTCCCCGAAGAGATGTGTGCAATCATTCTCAAACCGGATGTCACAAACACTGCTCATAACGGGAAGGAGCCAAATTTTTTGAACACTTGCTGAGCACCGAGTGCAGAGAGTAGAACTGCAATCTTGAAAAACTTTCTAAGAAATAGCATGGCGTGGTAACAAGAGGCCCAACACGTAAATTATGAATGGACATCGTCACATTGCACGACAATTGTCTGAATTGAAATGATAATGGAACGTCACTGACGCTTTCTGCCGTGCAAAGTCCATAGCGAAATTGGGGAAAGGCATTAAATTTCATTTTCGTGCGTTAGAAAGGCAAACATCAAGCGACGATTTGTTCATACTTATTATAAAATTCATGCAGCCTAGTGTTCAGCGCAAATACGCTTCTTAGAATCAATGTGTTGCTGAGAGCATGGTCGAGTGATCTTGGTAAATCGACCTCAACTAAGTGGAGAGTCGTTATCAGCTGCTGGTTTGTGACAGCGATCCATCTCACTGTGGTATGTACTCGAGCAAAATACCTTCGTGGTGGCTATTATGACACAAGAATTGTCTAATTTGCCAGTGGCGTTTAACCTTCTGATACCAGCATCCAGGCTTCAGCCTGTAGCTTCATATATCCACGAATCTTTGCTATGATAATTAAGCTTGATGACGCTCAAATTTTATGACATTGATGGTCTGGAACGCACATAACTTACGGATGTACCCTTGCGTAAAGTAGTGCGCTGCCGTGATTTGAAGGTTGTTGTGCCTAAGTGAAGCTGCGGCTTGCGTCAAGACTGTGTAAGGCAGCACCAGATAAAGCTTACTATATTCGTATTTCTTTCACCTACTTACAACTAGCTGAAGAGCATGACTGCTTCGCTCAGCTATCTTACTACCTTTTCCTGCAGTGATGATCTATATGCGTGACACGGGCGTTTATTGGGTATAAAGTGTGTGTGTAGTAGCCGCTGCACTGTGGACCCTGATCTTCTCAACATTGATTAGTTAACATCAGTATATTATTCGCCAACTTGGTCTGTCATCATGATAAGGAGCTTTCAATGATAAATTATATTCTTTCTTGCACCAATGAATATAAACTATCTCACGTGATGAAACTACCGCAATCATCTGGACTCGCATGACGCGTCCCGCACTTTCTGTCTCAGCACGGAACATTCATAGCATCGAACTAAGACGATCGGCGGCACTCGTCGTCCTCGCCTGCTGCGAAGTAGACATTGAGTTTGTAACCATCCCATTTCCAAATCGGTGGATTGCTAATTATTTCTGTGCTTCTCAGATACGATCTGCTTATTTGCTGATTAGTGTAAGTCCATCCAGGCCAATAAATCTTTCATCTACGTCAAATATGTTTTTTTTCCTTCTATTAGATGTCTCTATCTTTTGCACAGCACTAGCTCCAGCATGAATTATGCACTCAATTTGACAAAGCTTGCACGGGGTAGTTCATTCTTTGCGATGGTAAAGTAGTCAAATACCTCAAGAGGTTGAGGCATCGTGGGCAGAGTGAGGCCGAATATATAACGAAGGCCCTTCCTGACTGTCAAATCGACAATTTTTTTGTGTTAAAGGAACTGCGTTGTGTCAGTCTTAGTCTGTACAACAGCCGAACGTACTACCTTTTCAGGAGCTGACGGAGTCATAACGAGAATGTGAGACTACTTGTTTGTGGAGACTTCAAAACGGCTTTGATGAAGCTCTCAGCCGCGCCGAATACAGAAGCAAAACCGAGACTAGCTTCAGCAAGTCATACCAATGCATTTTAAAATTGCTCGGTGGTTGTCAACCGCTTGAACGGACCTGATATCAAAACAATAATTGGGTGCTTTAAACACATCGGGCTGCTGAACGACATACAAAGCAACGTTTATACACATGATTTTATGCTACACGTTAATTTCCATCAAGTGACTGATAACATCGAATTTGGGATGATTTTGAAGATGTATCGATCGAGCGGTTTTAAAACTACGCTGTTGCGTGTGTGGGCATAGAAAATCTTGAGCCTGATGACGTGTTTTATTCGGTGAGTGAAAATGTTGTACCTTGCACAAATGGGCGGTCTACCATCGGCATGTATAAAAGCTAGCGCATTAAGCGCAATTTTAAGGATAGAGATTCGAGGCTCGAAGCTCAATAAGATCTCCATGAAAGCGGTGAGAGACGCAAATGTTGCACTTGCGAATAAGTGAGACAAATAGGAAAGGGTGTCCAAAAGGAGCAAGGGCTAGAATATTGCAGAAAGCACGGCTATCTATCGTTGCTAGCGATGGCGAACTCAGTTTCTAGCTATGGCAAACCCAGTAGGGGCGTCTGGATACTCAAAAGCAAAATCAGTCGACGCCCAGATATTGACTGACGATGCTAGTGGATATCGCAGACTTCATTAGCGAGTGTGTGGCGGTCGATGTAGAACCATAAATGTTATAAAAGAGCTAACTGACATGGGTGATACAAGCTCCGGGCGAGAAGATTTGAGTACGACTCGCAGCCGTGTAGTCTACGGAACAATTGAAATAGAAAAAATCTACATATACGGAAAACGGAAAATCAAGGGACTACAAGTGCTATTAAGTGCAGTGGGGGTCCACCTCATGTATGGCTACTCTTCTTTGGCTTCAGTCACCCTTTCTCTTGAACCACTTAAAGGAATGGTAGATACTTGTAGACGATATTGGCTGGGTGAATTCATTGATCTCATCGTTAAAACCGACGTGATTGTCACATCTGTGATTGATGTGCTCGTTCATTCACTCGGTGCTGCGGCGGCAGAGTTTGAGCAGCGGTAGCGATCATAGTAACATGAAACTTTGATTCGCAAAAATGAGTGTTTTAGACTATGGATTAGCTATTGAAAAATGACAGAATTTTGCTCACTGACCAATTTCATTTTAAGCGACAAATTGTTCAAAAATGCAATCATCGATTTATTGATATGTTTAAACAACCATCCGATCGTCCATGTCACTAGAAAAGCTTACTTATCCATTGTTCGGCAACCGGTGAGGCTTTGGATGACGACAATATTTGATATACAAGTGTCTAAGCATGCTTTGCAACGATTGTGCAGATCACTCCACGTGGCGTATTACACAGAAGTGAAGAATAGTCCAGCGCTGCGGCAAGGTTTGTTAGACAAGAAGTTTGACGTCGCAATGATCAATGCGCATCTGGTACTCTTGGCTATTACGCCACTTGTGGCTTTCTCGAAATTTATTTTATAACCAGTATGAAATCTTATACTTTGACTCAGATTGCTGGCCCATTCCAGGTGCATTCAGCTGCCTTACGTGCTCTCCAGTGCGATGCGTCTAACCGCCTCACAACGCGAAGTCTGCACGCCGAGCTGGTCTTTAACATGTCTGGATCACGCAATGTATCAGAATCTCTCAAGCGATTTGGCTTCAGTAATGACACTACGTTACTTTTAGTTTGTGTGTTTGATGCTGACGACGAGAAGCTGAAGGCGGTGGAGACACTTGTTGAAGGCAACCAAGTGCCTTTTAGCAAGCTTGGATCCCATTTAACCAGCAAAGACTTACAGCTTATCAAGAAATATTACAAAATTTCAGAGTTGGAGCTCACACAGTCATCGCTTGAGGATGCTGCTACATGCAGAATAGCGACCAAGAGCTGCAGCAAGTAAGAGGATATTTAACAATGGGTGTAGAAAATGAGTCTCATTTGGCTCAACTGATTGCTAAGATAGCTCGTATAATTGAAAAAGATCAGCCACTTCTTGCGCTCTACTCTCATAATTGTTCTTTATCAGCACTGCCAGGCGGTTGATAACCCACAGGATATCTACTTTCTCACGACTGGATAAGAGCATAATAATCATGTTAAAACGTGGCACTTTGGTCAGTTCGGAAGCCAGCGCTAGTGCAAACATCACGCTTTCCTTCGAAACTGCTTCATTTGTTATCTGAATCAAAATAGCATGGCGAAGAGTGTGAAATATTTCACATAGCACATCAGACTCCATTCCACTTTTAAACACTGCGCTTAGAGCAGGTGGATCGATTATGCGCAAGTAATCAGCACGTAAATGTAGCAAGCGACACTTCTGCTCTTCATCTCCACGCAAAGCCAACGTCTTCCAAACACGAGCAAACTCATATGAAGTTGCCGGTGCCTTCTTTGGAAATTTTGGAAAGAAAATTAAGTGTTTATCTGCGTCATCCGATCTACTACCAGATGATGCTGAAATCGCGGGAGACGGAGATTGTGAGGAAGGCAATGAAGACTTTTCCGTTCTCTCCTGAACTGAAGAATTGATGTCCTTCTTATCTTCGATACCACTTTTCTCGTTAACGACTTTGATTGTGAATTCTGTTCGTTTTGGAGATCGTTTTATCGCCATTCGAATGAGCTCTCGAGTGGACTGCAGCTGTGTTTGAATCTGACGACTTTTTGGATCCAGCGTTGCAGCTTGCTGAAAGTCGAGCAATGCCAGCCGATGCTTTCCTAACGAATTGCGAGCAGTTCCTCGACGCATATATGACTTGACATGCGTCAAGTCTGTTTCTAAAGCCAGCGTACAGTCATCTTCAGCATTGGTATACTCCCGATTCTTCAAATACGCCATGGCACGATTTGAAAGCACCACCACATTCTGTGGATTATATCCCAAACAGCGAGTATAGCTCTTAATTGCAGCCACAAAGTCACCCTGTTTATAATGCAAATTACCATCTTCTCTCTCAAGCTCTTCGCGAGTTTTTGACGCTGTCAAAGACGCCGGCGTCTTTTTTGTAGCCGCCACTTGACACGAGAGATTTTGCGTGGCTATAGGGGACTCATTACAAAGTTGAGGATTGTCCTCTTTGTCTGCTTTTTTCAATGCAGCATCCTGCATAAAAAAATACTGCTGTCAGTATACCAACTACGACTGCAACAGCTAGTAGATGCGTACAACGTCAAACTTCTCCCATCGTTTGTATCCTTTGTCATGAGTGTGCGCATCCATCGCTTTCATATGGTCAGCAGCAACATCTTTGCAGCGATTGTTTCCACTAATGATATTGACTGACCGAGGCGGTAACGCTGTTGCTGAACTTGATGTGGTTTTCGAAGTTTTTTTGCGTGCTAATTCTTCTTGACCAATGCGTTTTTCCCATGCGTAAAGATCTGAGTAGTAATCTTGAAGCCGCGACGCATTCGAACGTATTTGATGCTGCATCTCGACTACTGACGGGACGCTGGATTCCTTCATCGACTTTTACGGAATAAATAATGTATAGCAATCATTTAATGTCGTAATAGTATCTTGTAAAATAGATTTGATAATTTCTCATACTTTAAGGACATTTCTTGAGCTCAAGTTTCGTAATATTTCAGGTCATCCAGGCACAAATTCCGATATTCCCATTCTAGCCGCGATATTTACGAGCATGCCATCTTCCGATCCTGCTTCATCTCGTGCAACCTCTGAGCAACCAGCGTCTCCATCCTCACCGCCAAACGATAACGATTCATTAGCTGCCACGAACGATGCACTGGAAGAAACTACTGTGCCTGAGTCGCTTTACTTTGTATCACCGAAGGCTGAGGCTGCTATGGGAATTTCCAGGTTTTCACCATTCGAAGAGAGTTATAATGACATGAATGAGCTACGTCGAGCTCTTAAAGTGCTTTCTGTTCAAAGAAACGCTCCGTATTACATGCAACATAGTAGTCCACAACGAGTGGAGGCTCGTTGTCCGTCCTGGAGACAACGGAAGCGCCGTGTTGGGATCAATAAAGACTCGGAAGTAGCAGCCAGGCAACTCTGTGACTTTGTTGTTTCAGCTAATCGCCACGCTAATGGAAAAGTGTACGTCACTCGCGCAATCTTTGACCACTCACCCACATGCCCCGTGCTCCATGCACGCCTTACCGCTACCACCGAGACAGTTACAACACAAACCGGTTCAGATGAAAAAGGGCGCACATCGACAGTTACGGCCTCTGCATTGCTCGAGACAGCGTTGCCATTTATGGGTCAATTAGCGAATTCTAGAGGTGGTCGAGACGCTGTCAAGCCGAAAGATGTGAGTGACATAATGAAAGAAAAATTTGGTGTTAAACCGTCATATATGACCGCGTGGAGAGCACTTAGTGCGTTTCGGAAGCAACGAAAGGATGAAGACTCGTCATCGTATATGAAAATAGAGGGATACTTGCGCGCTTTTGCAGAAACAAATGCCGGCAGCTTAGTGGCTTTCGAACATCGAGACAATGCCCAAATCCCGCCAACAGCTGATAAACTCACGGCCAAAGTTTTTGCAAGAGCATTCTTGTGCCCAAAGCCACTACAAGAGGCATTGAGAAATTGCCGTGGATCGATGCTTTTGAGTGTGTTTCTAGTGACATCGGCTTTTGGGGGAGTCGTGTTTACTGCGACGGCGCAAGATGCGATGGGGGACAATGTACCAATTGCCATTGGACTTGCTCCGGCAGAAACAGAGAATGACTGGCGATTCTTTGTACAGCAATTGCAACGTGCGTTCCCCGACTTAGAGCGTTCCATAGCGTCACTAGTACACAGTCGCGGTGAAAAACTGACTCGAGCGATACACTCAGTCTTCCCAGACTGTCCACAATCAAACGAAGTAGAAATTTTTATTCGCCAGTCAGTGCAACCTGCTGCATTTGCTCACTTAGCTCCTGCAAGATCGACGTTGTCTTTGGATTCGTCTATGCAATGGGTGGAAGCGCTGTGTTCAAAGCCACCGCTAATGATACTGGTGGGATGGGTTTCACAGGTAGCGCGAACTCTCTTTCAGCGCTACGAACGCTATGGACATTTGAGCTCGGAGTACCCAGCTGAGTTCCATTCGCTAGCAGCGGAATATGAAAGAGAAGCCGCTCGTTTTGATGTCGTGCGAACGTCAGAGAGTGAGTTTGAAGTGATTGACAAACAAACCAGCGCTGGCCGGATAGTAAATTTCGCCAAGCAGACATGTACCTGTGGCGAATATGACGTTTCACGCTTCCCATGTTTACACGTCTTTCTTGCCGTGAACCATGCAGGCATGCTGCGCACGGATGTCATTCCACGTATATTTCTAATGACATCTCTGAAGACGCTTTATGCTGGACGGATTACCCCAATTGACATTTCAACGGTACCGACTGACGGGATTACGATCCCACATCCGCTTCCAAAGACGCGTGGGCGCCCACGCAAAGTACAGCAAATTCAGCAATTTGGCGACCCGAAGCAGGATAAGCTTGCATGCAGTGTATGCAGTGTTAAAGGGCACAACAAGCGGACATGCAAGCGCCTTACTAGTGTACCGGTCCCCGTTCGTGAGCTGCATACAGAAGACATATTGAACGGTCAGGAAGATACAACATATCTTGGGTCTACATGTACGATGCTATCCTAATCACATAAACTTCTTTGAGATTTAAGCTCGATTGCTGTTTGATAGATTCTGACTCTCTTGCCTTCGACAATTCGGCCTTAGGCGGTACTGACTCGGAAAGTCACGTGGGTGATGGACAAACAGCTCACGTGAGCTCTTTGAAACGTCGACGATTTGTAGAAAATGGACGTGCTTTTGAAGACAAAAAGTCGGAAGGAGGCGAAGAAGAGGTGTTGTTTGGTAGTTGATTGCTTTAGTGAGGCTTCTACATATAGTAATGATACACTCTTCATGATAATTGTTACCACATGTGCACAATGTGTGCGAGAAGTTCAGAAGTACTAGTCGAGCAAAAACGCGATGAACGCCATTAAAATATGTACCAGAATTAGCCTTCCACCCCTCTTTACACTCTACTGCGTTATTGTAGCTGTTCGTAAGCGATTAAATGCAGCAGCCAACTGCGCGACAAATAACACAAATTGTAAGCCTTACAGCTAAGATGTCTGATACTGAGAGCCAGCAACGTACCTCGAGCTTGCGAGGTCGAGTGTAAAAGCCTGACTTCTTAAAAATACTAATAACATCAAGTGATCCTGAAGAATCCATATCGCTTTCAAGCTTGGTAAGCACTTCCTGCACAACCACGATGGCACAAAAGAGTGAACAAATCGTTTATATAAAGCGGCATCCGTCATTACTGCACCATGAGAGTGCGCTTGCCGTCCATGTAAGATTGAGCTTTTTGCAGGGCGTCAGCAATCGTTCGCACTTGGCTCGGCTCTACAATTTGCTCCACTGCGCTCAGATCCAGATCTACCTGCAAGACAACACAAGCACGCATTTGTCTTCAGTCAATCGTCCCAAATCAATTTCTGTTCAATACTTACCTCGCCGTATTGAATTTTGTCAAGACCTCGCGCGACAACTTTGCCTTTTGCCTCAAATCCTTGACTTAGAGGGATCCGCGATTTAAAATCACCAAAGACCACGTCTTGACTAATTTCGCCATATTTGCTCGCAATTGTTTTGGCCTCATTAGTCACATTTCGTGGTTCGTATGCATCCATCATAATTACATGGTCAGCAACTGAGAAGTAATCGCCTGCACCGCCAATAACTAGGATCGACGAGACACCAAGCCCTTTGAAAAGGGCCTGCACTTTTGAAATGAATGGTGTTATGGGCTCTTTCTCTTTCGCCACAAGTTGCTGCATTTTCCAATCTCGAATCATAAAGTTCGTGGCACAAGTGTCTTCGTCAATTAGTAAGGTCGTCGCCCCTACTTCCAAAGCTTCAATGATATTCGCCGCTTGTGAAGTACTTCCCGAAGCATCGGCAGTTGAGAAGCAGGTGGTATCCTGTTTAAACGGTAGATTGTTGATGAATGCACTGATATCTGTGCAAACTACACTACGCGAGTCTTCCGAACGAATCTTAGCAGCGTGAGGATCGACCACCACAAACTCTCGTCCATCCGATGGTATGTGATTGTACACACCAACTTCTAACGCCTTGAGTATTGTACTTTTACCATGAAATCCTCCCCCGACAAACAATGTCACACCTCGAGGAATCCCCATGCCAGTGACTTCTCCACAATTAGGAAGCTTAAAAACTTTACGTAGCGACTTCGGTGACTTGAATTGGATCGCTTTATCACTATCTAATGGTAGATCCGAAGCTCCTGATTGTCGAGGTAGTATCGCTCCGTCACGTACAAATCCTACAAGACCCTCGTCCTTCAGCATTCCTCTTAAAGTCTCCTGGTCTTCCACTGAATGCAAGTGCTTCCACAAGTGGTTCACATCCAAATTTCGAAGCAGTAACGATTGCTCTATCAACTTCGGCAAAGTCTCAACTAATATTGTGTACGCATAATCTCCACAGATCGTGCGACCACGAGCGGGTAAATTAGTGTTGAAGCGGACTTCCACGTCTCCATTAACCAGTACGTTAACACTTGAGCGTTCAATAACATGTTGACCTGGCGTATCAATCAAGATATCACCACCCTTAGTGCCATGCCAGGAATTACTTTGTTTTCTAACATTAGCCCCGCAATTGTGAGCAGTGACCGCAAAGATCCGAGTTAAATAGTCGCACAGTGCCACATTGCGAATCTTGTCTTCGTGCATCTCGGTTGAAAATGCAGCTGACGAAGCAGAAACTGTCACGTGAGCCCGTGAAGGGCTGGCGTATGGATCACTTTGAATGTGATCGAATTCGAGAGTAAAGTTAAGACTTTCGCTCTGAAATTTAAATGCGCGTTCCAAATCATGATATGCACCGTAATTGCTCGAGTGAATCTTTTGCAATATATTGGCCAGTTGATCCCAAGTAGCCGAGCTCAAAGGCGCTTGCACTCGTTGTTTAAATCCTTTGCTATCGTTTTGACCTCGTCCACGACCACCACGACCACCACCTCCATACTTGTTGCGATAATATTCGCCACGCCCCATTATCAAGTACCTGATAAGGTGATATTTTAAATATATCACTTAGCGAGTAGAATAATACAATTGAGTATGAGGTTATGATCTATTCTGGGTTACACAGTGATGCACTTTGACCTGTACTATAAGAGTACCTTACTCCGCTGAAATCATCACAAAAAGTATTTTTCCGGTAATCCTTCATTTGTCAGCAGCTACCTTTGCTCACGTCTTGATGAATGGGGAGGCGTTTATCTTTATATTACACAATGCCGTCCTGGCAACTCAAATAATTGATTGCTCATCCAAAAATGCGGCGCTTGATTTCTGTCCTAAGCATGCGCATCTCCAATTGAGCTCCGCTCATAACGCCCGAATTTTCCTGAGCACGTCGGATAAGATACGGTAGCACCTCACGGATAGGACCATAGGGCACGTATTTGAACACCTTATAAGCTTTCGCACCAAGTGTGTAGGACACATGATCGCACATGCCAAGAAGCTGACCGAAGTAGACACCGCCAGTAGCACGATTGATCCCAATCTCTTGCATCTGCTCCACCGTTTTAACCACCGATTTTTCATTGTGCGATGCCACCATAAAACTCGCTAAATGATTATGCTGCAGCAGTTTTGACACCTGGGCGTCATAATTCATGTGGGTATCCTCAATGGTATCGTGAATTGGATCAGTGTATCCCTTGTCTCGAGCACGCTTGCGCTCCTGTACCATGTAAGCACCACGCACTACTTTGGCAGCAAATCGAAATTTCTCGCGACGAGCACGCTCGAGATCAATGTCAATACGATCACTCGACATTTTGAGATAACACTGAAAGGTGTTGTAAATGACGTCACTACCGTCGCGGTTGTACTTGCGTTGCAGGTTGAGCGTAAGGTGATCAATCGCCGGTTGCATGTACGTCTGTTCAGCGTCCACCATTAGCTTCACGCCACGCTCGGCAGCGTCATGAGCAAGCGACTCAAGGCGGCGAATCATATTACTCAGCTGAGTCTTCTCATAGTCTGTCAGTGGCTTTTCCTCAATAAATTGAGTCAAAGGACCCATGGTTAAGTCCAATGGATCCAGAAAGCTCACCCAGTCCACATAATCAATTACGCCGTCACCAGATGAGTGATCCAGCGCTTTAAATAATTTCTGAATTTCCTCTTCAGTAGCGTTCACACCTGCGTTATAAAGGCCAGCACTTAGCGTAGGGTAGTCAATCATACGCTCAAGATAGCGCGACTTGGCACGCGAAAAATTAGGGCCATCCAGCGTGTGAAATAGCAATTGCGCCTGCACAATGATGGCCGACATGCGCATAAGTAATTCTGGCTTGCCGAGCGCCGTGCACTTGATTGCCACAAAAGCGGCTTCCCCAGCCGACGCTGCCTCGCTGGCGTCAATGATAGCGTGGCGTGAGATGGCAGCATTGGCGTCGCATGCCGCTTCGCCGTCGTAAGCATAAGTGCGAGCAGATACCAAATTTTGGTCCACACCGTTTAGATCGCGTGGCTGCTCGACGTCTGCCTCAGCAGCAAAGTCAAGTATGGCACCAATGCCAGCGGATTCAAGCTTGCGAATAACAGTACGAATTTCATTTACGTCTTCACCAGCGCAAAAGTGACCAAAGAAAGTCGCACGAAGCAGCGCATTTGTAAATGTGGCGCCTGCGACTTTGTACGAAAGGTCTAGGAGCTCGCTACTATGTTGCACAAGGGGACGAAATTGTGACATTAAGTAAACGACGTATGCGCGCACGAGTTCTGGTGTCGTTTTTGTGGCGAAAATGCGCTCGGTATTCGTAAATTCTTTCGAAAGTGAAGTCTTTTCATTTGTTTTTTGATCCAGTGATGAGAATTCATGAGCTTTGCTTGGCAATACCACGGCAGTAGGGACAGCAGGTCTAGACGAAGCTGACGCCGAGAATGCCACAAACGGTGAACGTTCGAGGTTCTTACGGGCTATGCAAGTGGCAGGTCTCGACAGTCGTGCCGATGCGTGGCGAAGCATTGCTGTCGTCGTAAAGGTTACGTAAATGTTGTCTGGGCTGCCAGTTGCGATGTGGGCTCAAAACGAACGAGGCATAGCACACCACGAAGCTCAAGATGTTGTTGACAGGTCCTCCCTTCTCCGGCTTTTTTGTGTAGTTTGATGTAAAAAGGCAACTTCAACAGAAATTCTACCTAGCCCTACACTCTAATTTAGCCTATTTATTTTATGTCATGTACATCATCTTTGGATTTTGAAATCCTTGGTTCAGACACACAATTCAAATCGGAAAATATGGTTGTTGACTTGGATACTATGCGCGCGTCCGTAACGCGTCAAGGGGAGCAGGTGCGAAAACTTAAGCAGGAAGGTGCAGCAGCTGAAACTGTTAAGGCGGCAGTGGACGAGTTAAAAAAGCTCAAACTTGAATTAGAAACACAGTCAGCTCTCCAAGGCCCCGCTGAGGATGGACTGAGCAAGAGCGACAAGAAAGCGTTGGACGACTTGTTGCTACGCAAGATGTTTGTGGTACCAAGCTTTGAGATTTATGGTGGTGTGGGTGGCTTCTATGATTTTGGGCCACCTGCTTGTGCGCTTAAGAGCAATCTATTGCAGCTCTGGCGTCGCCACTTTGTCTTTTTCGACAAACTTTTAGAGGTTGAGTGTACAAATCTGATGCCTGAAGTGGTACTGAAAACATCAGGCCACGTTGATCGCTTTACGGATCTCATGGTGAAGTGTACCAAGTCTGGTGAGTGCTACCGAGCGGACAAGTTACTTGAGGACCACGTCGAAAATTTCTTAGACAAGCATCCTGACCTGAGTCAAGAAGAGCGGGAGAAGCACGAAATGCACGCCACGATGGCCGAATCGTACTCGCCAGAAGAGATTCACGCTGTATTTCAAGAGTATGCCATCAAAGCACCAGGCACCGGTGCGGACCTGAGTTTCCCCGTTCCATTTAACCTTATGTTTAAGTGTGCGATTGGTCCAGAAGGTGGCTTGGTTGGCTACTTGCGTCCTGAGACCGCTCAAGGAATATTCCTCAATTTTCGCCGTTTGCTCGAGTACAATGCTGGCAAAGTACCTTTTGGCTGTGCTCAGATTGGTAGTGCATTTCGAAATGAGATATCGCCCCGCGCCGGTCTTCTACGTGTGCGTGAGTTTCAACAGGCTGAAATTGAGTTTTTTGTGAATCCAAGAGACAAGAGCCACGCTAAATTTTCGACTGTCAGAGATTTAAAGCTGCCTTTACTCACGAAGGACAATCAGCTTACTCATGGAAAAGCCGTGCAAATGACATGTGGCGCTGCTGTGGAGCAGAATATCATCAATAATGAAAGTTTGGCGTACTATCTTGCGCGTACGTACACTTTTTGCGAAGCTATTGGTATTGACATGAACCGCTTGCGCTTCCGTCAACATTTAAGCACTGAGATGGCTCACTATGCTACGGACTGCTGGGATCTGGAAATTAAGCTGAGCTCCGGCTGGGTTGAGTGTGCAGGCCACGCTGACCGCTCGTGCTACGATTTGTCGGTACATGCAAAGAAGAGCAAGGTCGAGATGCTAGGCACACACAAATTTGATACGCCTGAAAAGCGCCAGATTGTGGAAATCAAATCCAATAAGGGCAAGATGGGTCGCACTTTCAAGGCTGACGTGGCCATAATTCTTGAGGCACTTGAGTCGCTTAAACACGATGTGTTATGCGCACAGGCTTTCGAAGATGATTTGGCTTCCAAAGGCGAAGCGACGCTTGGCCCGCTATGCGATGGTAAGCAGTATATGTTGCAGCGTGATATGGTTAGTATCAAAGTGGTGGAAAAGATGGTGAGCGAGGAAAAGTTCGTTCCATCGGTGATAGAGCCCTCGTTCGGCATTGGTCGTCTCTTGACTGCCGTCTTTGAGCATAATTTCTCGACTCGAGAAGGCGACGAAAAGCGCGGCGTGATGTCATTCTCGCCCTTAATCGCCCCGATT